CCTCCTTTTATAGGGGCTAACCCCATTATCTCCACCCCCTCAAATCCGCCCCTTGAGAGATATTCTCTCAACAAACCACGTTTCCACGTTCTTCTCAACAGAGAAACGAACGTTGATTTGGTCATTAATGACCGAGTCAAGCTAACAATTAATAGTGGAAAAACATTGCTCCCTTGCAAGAAAGAATTAAATCTTGCAGATCCATTCTTAATCCATCGGCTCCTCTCCGAGACTCATGTATATGTTCCGAACATTTTGAATTTGCCTTGGTTTAATTAGCAACCATTGAAGTGTTGTCACCCACTTATTGCCCAACATACCACGGGCAAGCAATCCAGAACAAATAATCATCTGAGATGTGATCAAAGTTCAATAAAGAAGAGTGAGTATTACCTGAACAAGGTACCCTATTTTTATTGGCTCTTTGTGATCATGTCATTGATTACCTTGTTTCCCATTATATTTGTTGTAAAAAACATTATCTTCTAGTGTCAAATGCTTCGGATAACTGTATGCTATCCATTTTTTCTCTTGCCTTATTAGTAGAAGACAATTGAGTTTTACTGGATTGCCTCCACCTTAACCTTTTTTTTTTTTTCCTTAACACAGTTCCTCTCTAGAATGTAAATGACTCAAACCAAGATCTTCCATCTTGAGGTTTTCTACAAAGGATCCTGCCAAATCTTTATCTGGTGCTCTCCTGTAATTTTCATTGAACTCTAGCCTTTATGCAAATATCCTGTCAAATCTTTATCTAGTGTTCTCGTCTAATTTTCATTGAAGCTGGCCACATGAACATGCTTCAGTCAACTTTCTTCAAACCAAACTGACGAGATTGGATTAATGGTATCAAGCTCTATGCCTCAATAGACTGTTGATATCTGCCATCTTCCAACTATACAACACATGACTTCTTCCCTTAGACCTATGCAGCATAGCCTTTCTTATTTTAGCGCGCAGGATAAAAACCCTTTTATCTAGTATCTGTCTCATCTACTTGTTAAATTATGACTGAAGAATAGATTCAAAACCGTCCACCATCTAATTTTTAACTATAGTTTCAGGGGGATATGCATTCACATTATTATGTCAAACCATTTCCTTTTAGCATATGTAGGCCTAGAAAAACTCCTCTATTAGTGGTTGATTTATATCTAAAGATAAATCTACATTTGAGAGAATATTATTTCCAAAATATTTTGTTAAATAACCTGTCACCTCTTTACCATCAATACACAGACAGATTTAGATATAAGGAAAGCACAAACCCTGACGGCGTTTTTAACATCAATAAAATATGTATGTGTGTATGTATGTCAATATGCAAATTTAGATATAACTATAGAAAAGCACAACCACGAAACCTAAAATTTATAGTGGTTCAGTGACTGTCTACATCCACTCTTCCTGATAGCATCCTCACTATTTGAGAATTTCACTTAATATTGCTCCAACTTGAAAACTGAGTTACATCTTGATCATATGAGAGTCAATGGGTTCCGTGCACCTTGATCTCATGGGAGTTATATGGCTCTGTTACTCAATCCTATTCCAATCTAGAGATCGTGTGACGTCTTGATCTTACAGGAGTCGGACTGCTCCATTTCATGGACCCTCTAAACCTAGAGAGCTAACCTAATCAAAACAATGTTCTAATAACTAGGAGATCAAATAACACTAATAAAGATCTCTTTCTACAGGATAGAGATCGTTAAGCATAAATAACAATTAGTCTATACTCTTGCAAAAAAAAGTTAATCATAACTAGAAGCACGAAGCTCTAATCAAGATCCGATTCTAATAATGATATAAATAATATATGAATCAAAGAATAATAGAATTGCTTAGAGAACTAAGAAACTGAAAACATGAGATTTGAATTCGATAAAGCTTGCTGCTTTTTCACCCAAAAAACTCTTAAAAGAATTAGACGTATTAGATCAAGATGGCTGAAGATCATGGTGAACATCGCATGAAGTTTTCTTACAAAAAGACTAGAAATATAGACTCAAGAGGTTGCGAATATTTCAGAATTTTCTTGCTATTTTAACCCTCTTTCATTAGCTTTTTATCACTAAGACCGAAACTCTATTTGTTGGTTGTTGGTAGGAGACAAGACCATTATGTACCATATGTAACTTACCCCTAGCTCAAAATCATTTTAAATTAATAACGATTTGGAATCAACTTAGAATAGCAAGGAACAACTAAATCCCATTGTTTTAAAAATTAATAAGGCAAAAATAAAATCTTATTCAGGCTAGCTTATGCCTATCAGATGACGGCCAGACGGGTGGTCAGATAGCAGACACATTGTCTAGAAGAGTGGTCAGTTGTCCGGCCTCATGTCTCTAGACTTTTGCGAAGTATTTATTTTTCACTTGGATTATTATGGTTTTGCTACTGGTTCACTAAAACGATTATAACTTGAGCTCTATAGCTCAGAATTGACTCAAAATTGATTTTATGGACTCGTAGCTGAATGGGAAACAATCCTAAAAACTTCAAAGTTGAAATTTATTTGATGTTATAAATAGGAGTTTATAGTTAATACCTAAACATCTAAACACTGTTGCATATCTTTTATCTTGATATGGTTGATGTGCATATTTCTTCCTCTTTGAAGCTATAACTATTTATCTTCATATGATTTGGCGTTTTATGACCACTCTTCAAATGTTCAAGCTTGTGCTATTGATCGTTGTATTTGTAAATTTTATCATGAAAACACCTATGCTGCCTGGCTACTTCTAATCTAAAGCCGTACTCATTCCCAACATGGATCCGTACTCAATTATACAATACAAATGTTAACTTAAAACACTTGTTATACATTTTTGGACATATATCATACATTTCACACCCACTTCTTGAAACTCGTTAGACATAGGTTAGGTTTCAAATTATGATTTTGAAGGGTTGTTTGGATGTCTAGTTCAAAAACTAGTGACTTTTCAATTTATAATCCATGTAATAAAAGAAACATAAAACTATTATAAGACTTTTAATTCTCATCCTTGATCTCCTATAAATTATTAATTCCGATACATAATATATGTGTATAAAAATATTTATATAGCCGTGTCCCCGTACCCTACCTTTTACAAATTTGCCATGTCATGTACCCGTACCCATACCAACACTCGTACCCGTATCCACACCCATGCAACATAGCGAAACAATGAAGCAACAACTTCCAAACTCCATCACTTTATATTCCTGAAATCATTTAGAAATACTAAGCATGCAAAATATAGCTTGTTATCATTAAAACAGAATAAAATTAGAAATCATAAGTCAACAGAAAGTGCCATTGAGTTTTGCTATAAGCCTATAACACTTCTACTGTTTTGCTGTAATTTTGACTTGAGATATTTGTTTTCCTCTTTCTGGATTGCTACATTCAAAAAGTAGACATAGAAGTCAATTTTGACCTGAACTATTTTTTTAACTCTTTCTGGGCTTGGAGCCTAGGTAGCATAGATACGGGTGTGGACACGGATACGGACATGGGGCACATCAAATTTGTAAAATATAGGATATAGGGACATATATGTCTGTGTGTGTGTGTGTTGGGGGGGGGGGGGGATGGCATTTCAGCGAGACAATCCGTGTACGGCATGGGTCAGACACGGGCACGACACCCGAAACGCCATGTTACCTAGTTGGAACTCATATTCTCTACTACACAATGCTCATGCTTGATATTCTCTTTAATTTGTCGATGTATCTTGACTCTAATACAAAGAAGTCAATTATTGTTTTTGCATGATCCGTAATGCACATATTTGTCAATAGTTCATGTTTAGAAAACTCATCTTGCTTAAGGATAAGGTTTTTTCAGTCTATAGCCGGTGAGGGTTTGATGTTCCTTCTGATGTAAAATCAATGACTATTCGGGAAGTAGAACTTGTGTGTACATAGTTAACAAGTTGACCTTCCAAGTTAAGTTCTCTTCTTGCTGGGCATGGCTCAGTAGGTGCCATGGTAATAAGACCTCCAAACCAGTCTACGACAGAAAAGTAATGTCAATAATTGTTAGTTCTGGTGACAATTTAGCATTAGCCAAGGGAAAAGTTTAGATTAGATCAAGGTCATAACTGCGAGGAGCAGCCCCCAAATCCTATTAATGTCAGCACTGTTCTACTCTTCCCTCTTCTCAATTTTCATTTTTTCCAAATTTCCATATTAACAGGGGTAAACGTACCTATTTACCCATTACATGTTAAAATTTAAACAAATGTTATGTTGGGAGGTAGTGGGTGAATTGGTAAATTCGTAATTTTATAAGAAGTATATATTTTTTCTTTTCTTTTCTTTTCTCTTTCTTCTTGTCCTTTCTTAATAATTTGGGAGCCTACATAATTAGCTTATATTAGGTTATAGAAATACAGTAGAAATTGATTAATTTACTGATAATTATTATATGTAACTTTAAAAAGATGCTATACCACCACTATATAAATGAAATAGTAAATATGAGAAATTTATTGGACAAAAGAGAGGATCAAGTTCAAAAGAAGATTATTCTCTTTACAAACATCTTGCGCTCCCTCCATGTCTGCTACTAAATGCACTCTCTTTCCACGTAAAATGATGATATTTTTTCAAATTGTTTATAAAATTAAAAAATACCAAAAAATAGCTTTTTTAATGAGTGCAAATGCACGATTCAGATTTCTAGTTAATTTTAATGATTTGGGAGACAAAATCTTGAAGTACCTATAATTTGGACGAAATGTTTTGGAAAAAAAAAACTCGTAAAAAGTATGACCTCAGGAGATGGTGGCTGAAAAGCTATACACCCTTTTATTCACTCAAAAATAGTAAATTTCCCTGGGTGTTTTTCCTATCTCTATCTCTGACCCCAAATTTTCTTTCTTTTTTTGTTGTCACATTGGCTTTTGAAAGATAAATCTAGACCTCAGATCCTCCTTGCACTTTGATTGATTGTTTGTTTGTAAAATATAAACATTTTCTTGACTTATTTTCGACTGCAGGCACTGCTCAGACCTTGTAGAGAATACCCAGCGTATCATGGTTACTTACTACAGTCTAAATCATATAGGAGACGGTGTTCTATAGGATGCTCCATAAAATCATCTTCTGCACATTTTGGTCACTCGAACAATCTTGCCTCCTACCTAAATACTTTGGTGGACAGTCTAAGGGACACCTATTCCGAGAAAATCAAGGAGTTCCCATGGAGGAAAGCGAGGTCCATTGCCTCAGAGCAGTTCTTCATTTTTGCGCAAAAGGCTCTGAAATGGTCCGTTGTGTTGCTGTTTGGCATTAGTTTTCTATCTGATATATTCATAGCGGTCTCAAAGAATAGAGAGCTCCTTATTCCGCTTGGTCTTTTCATTGGTGTGACTCTTGCGGATTTTTTGAAGGAATCGTTTCAAGAGTTATTTCAAAACAGAGCAGAGGTGTGGTTTTATCAAATAGGATTTTTTTTTTGTGGTTTTTATTATAGAGGGTTTTTTCGATATTGGTCTTTTAGTTCTTTCATGTTTTGAAATTAGTCCCTCAAATATTGAAATTTCTATTAGGTCCTCAAATTCTTCAGTTACTTTGTAATTACTCCCTCCAATCAAGAGTAAAGCAGCAATTAGAGGGATTTATTTGAAGCACCTTATGAGGAACTAATTCCAAGATAATTAAAGAATTGGGGCACATAACAATAGCATTTCAATGATTGGAGGGACTAATAAGTTGAAAACATGAAAGATTTAAGGGAATTATGTGGAAAAGACCCTGTCATATATTGCCTATTGATTATTGTTTACGTTTACTTAAGACTTATGTATGTTTTTTGTTGGATTTGGAACAGGGTGAAGGATTTCCCAGGAATCTTTTAGGCGTAGGATCATTTTTTGTGTTTGTCAAGTTGCTATCTTTGTGCTTCAATGTGCAAGGGAGGATAGCTTTATCGCATATTGGAAATGGTGGATTGATGCAAGTTTTGTGGTTGGCTCGAGAACTGCAGCGGAGGGATGATATTGAGATGAAGGAAGAGCAACCAATGGAGCTCTGAGAATGCATTAATATTCAAATGAAATTTTTATCATATGATAGGATATTATGCTTTTGTACCTATGGAAACATAATCTTGTGGGCATGAAGCTTATGCTTTGTGTTCACTCAGTCGAGAGTGCCTTATGACTTTTGTATCTGCCCATCTATGTATCTATGCTTCCAAAACGAGAACATCAAGTATATTGTTCGATGTTTTATATGTTGAAATGAGCTGATGAATCTGAGAATGGAACATCTTATACTTTGTTGTTTTCGGTACGGTAACTGCCAAACATAATCTCTGATGGTAACCTGAGTCTGTTGCCTTTTTTGGGCTAGTACTATGAGAAGAGTTCTATCACAACTAGTCATCAACCTCCGTACTAGGAACATGAACATGATGAAACTTCGTACTTGATTTTGGCAATATCCTTGTAGAGCCCGAAAATGAAATCTCATTCACTTTTGAGGTAGGATGGAGGTGTATTAGCTCCGTAGTTAATACAAATAATATTATCAATTGCTTACATATAGTTAAAAACAATGGGACAGCCTAGTCAATATTATCAATAGTAGGAGTTGATCCTCGGATGGTAACTTCTTAGTGCACATTGTCGTTGGAACGGTTTGAGTTTTTAAACTGCTTCAAATTCTTTTGCGAAGGGGAAAAAGAGAAGTATAATAGAAAATGGTGAAAAAAAGGATTAAAGCACAAAACAAAATAATATATATTTCTAAATCAATATGTCACATCAATTCGAGTCGTCATCTATTCCGATATTAGGCAAGGTTGTTGTAATAGAAAAGAGATACACATTGTTGTACCTCAAAAATTGATAAGTAAAAATGAACTCCCCTAAAACAGACACTCCCCTAAAACAGACACATGTCATGTTTAGCTAGTCTGTCTCCCCTCTAATCAGGGAACCCAACCTAGACAAGTGCACAGTCGACCTATTTTTAGAGACGGATCCAAGACGAAAGGTGTCTTTAGGTCAATCTCTTTACCAGAACCCAATAATAATAGCGCTTTCGGGCCTAGATCAGCTCAAGAAGTCAAAAATTCAGAGATGAATGACGTCCTTCCCTCGACTTCAGTGCGGAATGTCTCGAAATACGAGTTGACCTATCAGCTTCGTCAAATTAACCTACCTATGTAACCCAATCACCATCACATTTAATGCATGGCCAGAGTCATTATGACCCTTCCCATCAGAGTCATAATGACTCCTCGGACGATGCGAACACTTCAATCTCCCTGTTGCTGTCGCATTAAATGCAAGAGTGACTAGCTTGCTCTGCAACCGACAAGTGTAAAAAGCCACCTGATCAAACTGCTCGCACCAACCCGATCAAGTTACCAAATAGCCCCCCACAGAGTCCTATAAATAGGGGTCATTTCTTTTGCATGAAGGTATGCACAATCGAGTTCAATAGTACCATTTATATACGTTATAATACATTTAACCTCTATTAAATATGATTTTCTAGGTGAAGATTAAAAGCGTGCACATGCACAAACACTAAACATTATATCCGGCCTACTAGCGGTGAGATAAAGTAAACTACCTATCATACCTCAATATAGTTTTTGGTCTACTTTCTCACCACTTTCATCTATATTCAACTTGATGGAAGTGCTCATCAGACTTGGTGCATGCTTGGAGTTTGACATCCTAAATTTCTTCACTAACTCTCTTACATACTTACTTTGTGAGACAAAAATTCCATCATCACATTGTTTGACTTGGAGGCCAAGGAAAAATGTGAGCTCTCCCATCATATTCATTTCAAATTGCTCTTGCGTTACTTTTAAAAATTCCTTGCACAAAGATTTATCAGTAGCTCTAAAAATAATATCATCAACATATATTTGAACTAAGATAAAATCACTTTTGCTTTTCCTAACAAACAAAGTATTATCAATCTTTCCTTTTGAAAAAAAATCATTCTTAATAACAAAACTAGAGAGACGAGCATACCAAGCTCTTGGAGCTTTTTTCAAACCATATAAGGCTTTTTGAACCCGGTAAACATGATTTGAAAAAATGATCAATAAATCCAGGGGGTTACTCAACATAAACCTTTTCATCAATAAAATCATTTAAAAAGACACTTTTCACATCCATTTGAAATAATTAAAAAAAAAAAATTAAAACTAGCAAATGCTAAAAACATACAAATTGACTCCATTCTTGCAACCGATGCAAATGTTTCGTCATAATCAATGCCCTCCTTTTGATTGTATCCTTAGGTGACCAAACGAGCTTTATTCCTAGTCACTATACCAAATTCATCAAGTTTAGCTTTAAAAACCCATTTTGTTCTAATAACATGAAAATCTTTAGGTCTAGGAACAAGTTTCCAAACATTATTTCTTTAAAAATTATTTAATTCATCATGCATAGCTAAAACCCAAAATTTATCATTTAAAGCATCATTAACACGTTTTGGTTCTATTTGAGATAAGAAAGCAATATTACCACATTTACTCATGGCCTTTGAGCGAGTCATGACGCTTTTTGAGGGGCTTCCAATGATTTGCTCCTTATGGTGATCCAGTGCATACTTCCAAGTTTTAGGGAGTTCTCCTTGATCATCCTTTTGATAGGTTCCAACTTCCCCCTCTTGTGTCTTTTGT